ACTAAGTTTAATGCGATTACCAACATTATCACTGTTATTGTTATTGCTACCACCAATATCTTGTTTTATTACTGTAATGTTACTACATTATCATTCTATCTTGATATTATGGCTCTATTGTTATGCTTAATAATATTTTCAAAATTTTCCATTATTATTTTTATGCATTGTGTGCCGTAGAGAAAAGGTGCGCTGGTCATGGGGCAAAACTGAAACAACAGGTGGACAACGCAGATTACTGAATGGTATCCACAGAGTGTTAAAGAACATTGGATAGGCCACCAATTTTAACCAGACCAGCAAATGTTAGTCAAACAGAGCATGTAGCCCAGTCATTCACATCATGCGGTCCAAACAGATGCAGATGGGAACACTTTTTACGTGGTAGAAGAAAACTGTGCTATATCAGTAACTGCATTACTTGTATTTAAGTCCCAGAATCTTGCCAAGACGGATTCCTTCTGACGAGTGAGGGAAGCACAACGTGGCAGAACTGACCTGTAAGAGAGGGAGGAGGGTTTCACGTTGATTATCTCATCTGCTTGTGTCCCGTTGATAGTCCATAGGACAAGCTTACATAGTGCAGTTAGTTTCTGATTTCAGCTCTCTTGCTTCATTTGAAATTCAACAGTTTAAATTGCCGATATGGTACGGTTCAGGTGTTTTTTTCACGCATTAATCGGCTTTTAATGCTGGAATATTGTCGAAAATTCGTCACTGGTTCCGCTAAGCCGTAGCGAAATAGACAGAGCACTCGCGTCATCAACACACACTGGTTTTTAATCTGTCGGCAATTGCGCAACGAGTAAAAAGCATCAGCATTCAAGAAAAAAAGATATCGCCCAGGTCTGGGAACCCAAGAATCTGCACCGCTTCGGAATTCATCGATAAAATATCGCTCAAATGAATTAGCACGAGTGGTTTGTCTGCCCGTCTTGTGTGATTAAAGTAGGACTTATATGCTTGTTTATTTACACATTTAAATTTCAGAAGACTGCTGTTATGCTTATCTGTTCACCTACCGGCTGGTTTCTCCCCCACCCTTTCTTCTATTATTATGCGTTTTGTGCTGTGCAACAGCAACACAAAACGCATATTGTCACTGGATTGTCTGTGTGTGTGTGTTCGAGATTTTGTCCCGCACTTTCAATTCGAGAATCACAAAATCTAGGCAACTAAAATCTTAGTACAGTGTTCTTCCCCAACGCCGCATATTTAAATTCAGCCTTCCCGTGCCCGCGGGTAACACGTATGGCCCCGCAAGTTTTCGCTGGTAAAATTATTATCACAAATCCACAGAAGCTAAGGCCGAAATTTTGTGGGCATTTCCCCTGCCTATGTGCGATCCAAAAAATTTAAACCCAGCCTTCTCGTGCCCGAGGGTAACAAGTACGGTCTCATGAGAATTTCGGCGGGTAAATTGTCTCAGAAACCACGGAATATAGGGTGCTGAAGTTTTCGGGTAATGATCCCCTGCCTAGGTACGACCTCGCAGATTCAGATTCGGCGTTCCCACGCTCTCAGATACCACTTACGTCCCGTGAAAGTTTTGGCGGATAAATTATTATCTCGGAAATCATGAAAGTTGAGAACCTGGAATTTTAGTGCGATGTTCTCTATCAATGTCGAAACCCGCAAAATTGGGTTCAGCCTTCACGCACCCTGGGTGCCAATTTCCCTCCCAAAACCTTTACGTACGGCTCCGTGAAGGTTTTGGGAGGGAAATTGTCTCGTGAACTGCAAAAGCTAGGAAGCTGAAATTTTAGCGGGGCATCCCCTGCTCACGTACAAATGCGCAGTATTTTCAGCATCTCCATGGAAGTTTTGGCGAGAAAATTCATTATCTCGGGAGTCAGAAGAGCAAGGAGGCTAAAAATTTTAGAGAATTTTCCCTGCCCAAGCAGTGGCTTCACAAACTCGAATTCATTTCCTAAGTATGCCGAGATCTCACGTACAAGATGTGAAATTTCTGTCTCGAAAATCATTCGAAGACCAGAAAATTAGAAGATTGAGATTTTGGAAGGATATTCACCCTTCGGCGTTTCAAATTCAGCTTTCACATATGTGTCTAAAATTCTTAACTATTTTCCGACATTTCAACTATTTTTGCACAGACCAAAGCACAAAGCAGTGAAAATCATTAGCAGGCTATCGTCCAGTGGCAGGAACTGCACAAAACGCATCAGCTATTCTGGTGCGCGGTACGATTTTACTTTTTAAATTAAAACCTTTTTCATCTTTTAAAGTCATAACTAATACGCTTCTACAAATAAATTACGTCTTATTTTATCACCATCACAACCGTCGTGCTGACGAGGACCAGATGTGGTGCTTGAAGATATCTATGATTTGATGGGCCGAAACAGTGTTGTTCATTCAGTTCTCCAATACAATTTTATATTTTCACGTATGTCATGATTAATATTTCTATCATATTTTTTTTCAATTCGGATGCCCGGAATCTGACTGCTGTGTCCTCGTTAGAAGACCACTGTGCAGCTAACAGCGCATAACACTCCCCGCTTCAAGGCTTCACGGGTTCACACAACTCCCAAGGGGGCATGAGTACATCCTTTCATCCCACAACGGGTCTCCTGCTGTCCATGCAGATACCATTCGAGAGCCAACTTCGTTCAAGCGGTATTTTTCAAAATAGGGCCCACGACCAGCATGTGTCTTTCCGCTCGTCGCATCCTGATGCAGTAAGCTCCTTGTTGCTCTGTGGGCTATGCAGTGAAATGCGCAATCGCCAAACCAGTTTGCGGAGTGGCCGTGCAGTTCGCGCATCCTCTTGCACCTTGTTTACGGAGGCTCGCTCAACACCGAAATATAGAAGTGAAATTGTTGGAAATCTACCACTTTGCGCACAATATCAGCGAACGATGCCAAACTCGAAACCAGTGAAAAACGCCAGACTGAGACCTCATCAACCTCAGCTCCGAAGTAGCCAATGGGCTCCTTATTTAAAAAATCTGTAGCCTATATAAATTAGTTATTTCAAAACGAATGTAGATCCAAGAATTCGACGCATAAAAAAGAGAAGGTGCGGGAGAAGGAAAGAGAGGTATGAAACCGATCTGCAGCAACGGATGATTTAAATTTTCTGTGTTTTAAGTTCTGTTTGCATACTGTAGAGATGAAAAAAAAAGGCCTGCGCATCTCGAAAAGCATTACGCTGTTAAAAGCTTCAAATTTTTCGGAAGAAATTCATTTCCATCGTTTCCTGTTGAACTTCATAAATTGCGGCAGTGCAAATGTCGAGGAATGCAGCGCCGCTGCAAACCCAGCCAATAACTTCGACAAAAATCATTTCATTAAGAAAATTACAATCTAAGTGTGCTAAGACAAAAAAAGAAAAACAACTGGCCAAAATATCAAAGTAAAATCACCAGAAAGTTTTATCCTATAGAAACAGAAAAACCGAATTACTTGCGCCAGTATATAAGCAAATAAAGGATCGATTACTTCTCCTT